GCAACAGTTAGAACTGGATATGGAACAACTGATTGGTTCAAAATTGTGGAAAGAAGTACAACATGGCTGTACGTTGTCTCCCTGCTTATTTAACTTATATGCATAATACATCATGCAAAAGGCAGGACTGGATGAATCCCAAGCCGGAATTAAGATTGCGGGAAGAAATATCAACAACCTCCAATATGCAGATGATACCACTCTGATGGCAGAAAGTGAGAAGGAATTAAAGAACCTCTTAATGAGAGTTAAAGAGGAGAGTGCCAAAAATGGTCTGAAGCTCAACATTAAAAAAAAAAGAGAGAGAGAGAGAGCTAAGATCATGGCCAAAGGTCCCATCACCTCCTGGCAGATGTTGTTAGCATCCTTCAGTCTCAAGAGACTATGGTAACGTCTACATCCCAATCCCAAAGCAGGGCAGTGCCAAAGAATGTTCCAGCTACTGTATAATTGCACTCATTTCACATGCTCAAAACCCTCCAAGGTAGGCTTCAGTGGTATGTGGACTGAGAACTCCCAGAAGTACAAGCTGGATTTTGAAGGGGCAGAGGAATTATAGACCAAATTGCTAGCATACGCTAGATTATGGAGAAAATCAGAGAGATCCAGAAAAACATCTACTTCAAGTCCAATGGAAAGGAAAGAGCCAATACAATGGGTTCCAGTGATGTCGTAGGAGTTGGCAGAATGACATGAACTACTTCCAAACCACAACCAACAATGGCAAGTTCTTAAAAAATCGGAGTGCCTGACCACCTTCTCTATCTCCTGAGTAATCTATATATGGGACAGGATAGTGGATATAGCCACAAGGCAGTGGAGGTTTGAAATCAGAGTTTTCATTCTCCTAGATGGGCTGCCTTCCAAGGCTGATGAACCCCACCTACCTGGTCTGCTCCCTAAGAGTGTGGAAGTATGATCCAACCCCTAAATCTTTCCTAACCCCCAGGTGCATGCAATGCTATTTGCCTTTCCCATTTACCAGATTAGAGTAAAAAATAGAATCAGAAGATTTCATTTAGTGCTTCTGCTTCCACTCATTTAAAGCCAAACCCCTGCCCCCTTAGACCATGTGGCCCAGGACAACAAAGGTCTCCCTAGAAAAATATAACAACCCCCCCCCCGAAGCTCAACATAAAAAACAAAAACAAAAACAAAAGCTAAGATCATGCCAAAGGTCCCATCACCTCCTGGCAAATGCTGTTAGGCATCCTTCAGTCTCGAGAGACTATGGTAATTTGCTCTGTATGGAGGACTTGGAACAGCATCTAGTGTGGCTGAGAAGGCCAGTTCAAGAGTGGCAATCCCTTTCCGTCTTGTTTCAATGCTGTATGCGATGCTGGAGTGTCCTCGCCAGAGCTCGATGCCTGGGTAAAATAATACGGAGGATAGGCTGTTTCCCAAGCAACATATCCCCCCTCTCCATGTCACTGAAATAGTCCAATGGAAAGGCAAGAACCAATACAATTGGTTCCAGCGATGTCGCAGGAGTTGGCAGAACGACATGAACTACTTCCAGGACTCTGGCTCCAGATTTTGCCTCAAGGTTAACTCCTGAAGCCTTTTCCATGAGTGGATATAACCACAAGGCAGTGGAGGTTTGAAATCGGAGTTTTCATTCTCCTAGATGGGCTGCCTTCCAAGGCTGATGAGCCCCACCTACCCGACCTGCTCCCTAAGAGTGTGGAAGTATGATCCAACCCCTAAATCTTTCCTGACCCCCAGGTGCATGCAGTGCTATTTGCCTTTCCCATTTACCAGATTAGAGTAAAAAATAGAATCAGAGGATTTCATTTAATGCTTCTGCTTCCACTCGTTTAAAGCCAAACCCCTGCTCCGTTACACCATGTGGTCTAGGACAGCAAAGGTCTCCCTAGAAAAATATAACCCCCCCCCCCAAAAAAAATGTGCTCCCAAGAGAGCTCACCTTCTGCCTCAGCTTCCTCCTCAGGAAAAATAGAAAGGCGAAATAGAAGGAGAAGATATGGAGGCAGTGACAGATTTTACCTTATTGGGCTCCATGATCACTGCAGATGGTGACAGCAGCCACAAAATTAAAATATGGCTGCTTCTTGGGAGGAAACCAATGACAAACTTAGACAGCATTTTAAAAAGCAGAGACATCACCTTGCCGACAGAGGTCTGCATAGTCAAAGCTATGGTTTTTCCAGTAGTGATGTATGGAAGTGAGAGCTGGACCACAAAGAAGACTGACCACTGAAGAATTGATGCATTTGAATTGTGGTGCTGGAGGAGACTCCTGAGAGTCCCCTGGACTGCAAGGAGAACAAACCTTTCCATTCTGAAGGAAATTAACCCTGAGTGCTCACTGGAAGGACAGATCCTGAAGCTGAGGCTCCAATACTTTGGCCATCTCATGAGAAGAGAAGACTCCCTGGAAAAGCCCCTGATGTTGGGAAAGTGTGAAGGCAAGAGGAGAAGGGGACAACAGAGGACGAGATGGTTGGACAGTGTCATTGAAGCTACCAACATGAATTTGATGAAACTCCGGGAGGCAGTGGAAGACAGGAGGGCCTACATGTTCTGGTCCATGGGGTCACGAAGAGTCGGACATGACTTAACGACTAAACAACAATTTTTTAATAAAGAAGTTCCAAAATGGATGAATATTCTTTTACTCTTGTAAACCAGTAGGGAGAAAAATTCGGAAAAGTTTTGTTCTTACTTGCAAGACTGAAATAATTTGTACCTTGGTTCCCCTGATTGCAGCTTAAAAATCAGTGCAAACTGAGCCTTTAAGATCATATAGATCAATTATAATTTTGCTTAGATTATAGCCTTCCTGATTTCACATGTCAGATTCAGACCAAAGAGGGCCATTATATGTGTTTGTGTTTAGCGAGTACAACTTGAACATATTTGCAGGTACCATTTTAATGAGATGAAAATGGAAGTCGTAGAATTTTAGTGAAGAGAAATTTACAAAATTCTTTTCCTTATTATAGGTTTGATTCCTAATCTAATTTATGTTGTTATACCGACTATACCATTGCTGCTATTGATATTAGTGGCTTTTGGGACTTGCTGTTTCCAGATGCTGCATAAAAGGTAAATATTGTACTTGGGTAGGCATGGAATCATGCATTTTATTCATACTCATATTCATTTCGTATGCTATGCATGGCCATTCACATTTGAACATCGAGTCAACATTTACACTACAGTGGTATGTGTTGCAATAACAACAACAAAAGGACATTTACTAATGTGCCAGCACATTATATATAGTGAAGTTCATGTTCAGCAATATGAGCATATTTACTGGATTAGACCCTTCAGACCTGCGTAAATCAGTGTTAGTCATGTGCTACTATGAAGTTCCTGCTACTATTAGGAAAAAAAATGACAGATTTTATTTGGCACAAATTTTTGTGGACTGCATTCCATTTTATCATATGCCTGATAAAATCTGTTAATTTTTCAAGTGCCACAATATTCTGTCATTTCACTTGCTAGAATTGTAGCTTTTTATCATAATATAAAAGGTAATCTAATTTATTTAAAAAAGAAAGATGTTAGGAAGAGGGAAAGTCCTGCAATATATTAATAAAGATCCTAACCTTCTCTATCCTGCCGTTGCACATGTCTAATTTTTCTTTTCAAATGTTTGCTTAATAATTTAATGATAAATTGTATTCAGAGACTTCTCAAGTTTTGAAGGGTTTTTTTTCCCCAACTATCAAAACGAGCATTGACACAGCTCTGTTTCTTGAGATAGGTTCTGTTGACCACAGACATAGAAACCTTATTTCCTCTTGCACTCTCCTCTTCACTTTTCCCTTATGCAGAAGGTAGGAATAATTATGGGGTTGTTGCCATGCAGGAGGAAAATAAATTGAATTAAATGTGACTCCATTTTCAGTTCCACTTTCTACAGACTTCTCCATATGTGCCAGCTGAGGGTGGACTGAGTATTACCAATAAGCAACAGGATCTCAGCTAGTATTTCATATTACATTTATTTATTACTAGAGATAGGCACAAACTGCCGGTTTAGCAGTTCAGCATGATTTGTTTCCTGGCTGAATAGCTGATTCATGGTTCAGTGCCTTGCCCCCTCCTGTGGGTAGCCACTCACAGGCAGCACCCTGCCCCACCTCCTCTGGGCACTGACTCTGACTGGATGCTTACTGGAGGGGACAGGATGCTGAACCACACATCAGCTGGGAAATGAACTGTGCCACACTGCAGTTAATGCCCATCTCTATTTATTACTATTTACATGATACATTTTGGGACGTGGTGGCGCTGCGGGCTAAACCGCAGAAGCCTGTGCTGCAGGGTCAGAAGACCAAGCAGTCGTAAGATCGAATCCACGTGATGGAGTGAGCGCCCGTCACTTGTTCCAACTCCTGCCAACCTAGCAGTTCGAAAGCATGCAAATGCAAGTAGATTAATAGGGACCACCTCGGTGGGAAGGTAACAGCGTTCCATGTCTAAGATGCACTGGCCATGTGACCACAGAAGATTGTCTTCGGACAAAACGCTGGCTCTGTGGCTTGGAAACGGGGATGAGCACCGCCCCCTAGAGACGAACACAACTGGACAAAAATTGTCAAGGGGAACCTTTACCTTTACCTTTACATGATACATTTATATCCCATCTTTCCTTCAGAGCTCAAGGCCCTGTATATAGCTCTTCTCTTCTCCCCACTTAATCCTCATAAAACTGAGAGGTACCTAGGTCGGCATGGAAAGTTATGACAGGCCTAAGATTCCCAGTGAGTTTCGTAACTGAGTAGCAATTTGTTCGTAAATTTCTAATGTTGTAGTTTCAGCACCAACTACTTCACCACACTAATTGTGCAACCCCATTCACATTTGAATGTCAGCATTTACATTATGCAGTGCTACACAAAAGAAAAACACACTGAATGATGTACCTGCAGAGTCAAAGATACAAAGTGACATTCATATTCAGTAATTAGCTTGCTTATTGGAGTGTGTGTTGCTTACTGATTTCCTTGCCCAGATCATAATCGGAGGAGCCTGTAGTGTAGAGCTGAACAAAAAGCACTAGTGTGTTCCAGTGGTTCTTAACCTTGGGTTACTCAGGTGTTTTTGGACTGCAACTCCCAGAAGCCTTCACCACTAGGTGTGCTGGCTGGGATTTCTGGGAATTTCAGTTCAAAAACCCCTAAGTAACCCAAGGTTAAGAACCACTGGTGTATTTGATGAAAAGTTACAGGGAAAGGACGTGCCAGGAGGCTGCCACTTCAGTAGGGGCCACATGTTGTACATCACACCTGGTTCTATTCCAAAGAAGTAGTTCCCATGCCAAATTGTTCTTGCCTGACCTATAGGAAGCAGAAACCCTGGGGGGGGGGGAAGAACTGACAGCCCAGGGAAAGCATCAGAACCATTCATTTCAGCATACCAGAACTAAAGCTACAAAGCCAAGCATTTCTCCTGTGCTTTTGACAGCAGCTCATTCATGCTTAGCGGCTTTCCCTTTCCTTTCTTCTAGGGAAGCAAGGAGAAACTGCTTCAATGACTCATCTCCATTATCATCTGAATGCCTTGCAGAACATTTAGATTCTAACTTGGTATATTTCTCAGTTTTTAAGATTATATTTTGAAGGTTAGAGTTACACTTCTCAACAACTTCTCCCAATTACTGGTGTTTTCCCCAGAATTTCCCAGCCTGATATCAGTCGGTTTATTTTATTTCAAATGCTTGAAGTTATGATGATCTAAAATATACTCAGAATATTTAGTTCAAATAATGCACCTACATGGTTTTGTGTGGCACATCTTCTTTCCTCATTTGTTTAGATGTTTAGATTAAGCTGTTCTTTGACACCTAACTGCAGAGCTTGGGAAAGTATATATTTTGGATGATAAGCTCCCGAATTCTCTATTGGGCATCAGCAGTGGCTATGATGGTTGGGGGATTCTAGGAATTATAAATTAAAAAGTAACTTTTCCAAGCTCTGCCCAGTGGTTACCATTTTGCCCCATGCAAACTGGATGGGTAGCAAATATATGGAAAGGACACTTCAGTGTGGTCATGTTATGCTGCAAATGAATCACAGTGCCTTGGGTTCAAATGATGAGTAAGATCATATTATGACTGAATACATGTAATGAAGATCAGTTGTCAGGTAAGTTAAATACAGTCTGTAGAAAAATAAAACTGATAACATTTCCACTTTCATCAGATTTGTCTGTTGAAGGCTTAACCAACTGGCACAGGCATAGAAACATGCACATGCTATTTAGTGTTGTAGAATGGATGTTCCAGCTGCAACCATTGTTCAGAGTACTTTTCCATTACTACTAACTGTGGTCAGTTTTTCCCACTCTTAGTTTAGAAATGCCAGCTCTAATATCCTAGCCTATGTTAAACCATTTACTATATCTGTATCTATGCTATTGGTTGTTGAGAGTAGGCACATATATAGAGGATGATATAGATGGGCCATAAGCCCTAGAAAACTCAACTTAACATACTTCCTTTTAAGTGTGGCTTTCAGGAAATACATCCTGTTAAGTCTGGATTAGCTTTCAGTTACATTTAATATGTTCCATCAAGTTGAAACTGATTTATAGCAACCCTAATTGGGCTTTCAAGGTAAGCAAGATATTTAAAGAATGGCTTTACCAGTTCCACCCTCAGTAAGTTTCTGTCTTACTTGGTGGGGATTCAAACCCAAGTCTCCTGAATCCTAGTCCATCACTCTATCCACTACAACATACTGGGTATCAGTTACTACATGCTCTTAAACAAACAAACATACAAATAAACAAGGCTAGTTCAAGCAACATCATAACAATCTAAAATAGTTTTATAGTGGTTTCCTGTGTACCATCATCCATATTTGTTTGCATTATGAATTGAATGTATTTATTGATTTGTTATTTTCATTCGTATAGTACCTTTCTCTCAATTAAGGGACCCAAGGCAGCTCAAATGTATGAAAGGAATAGATGTGCTATTAACAAATACGCATATATGTAGTTATGTTTTTAATTTTCCAGTAAAGGAAGAACAAAAACCAGTCCGGACCAGTCTACACTATGGATTTCTAAGCACCCAAGGAAAGACAGTAGCATGGAGGTATAGAAATGTGACTGAAAAGAATGCAGAAATGACACATTTCCGTTCAGGATCTATTATACGGTCATATCAGATATTAGCTTGGAATGGCTTGAAATTGCAGTGGATCAGCAAAATGAACTGGAAGCTCCCCCTTGAGGCAATTGCTCAGATCATTTTTTTATATGCAAGGTTTGGTTTCTAATTCAGTAGTAAGAAATAGCACTCTAAAAGACAAAAAAAAAAAGAATGCATTTATTTTGCTAAGGAAATGACTCACTACTGATAGTAATGAGATGGACAGAATATTTGAATTGTGTATGGAAAATGTCTACTGTACATGTTAGTTCTAGAACAATCATTTTTAATTTAATTTTTTTATTTCTCATACATTGTACCATTCCTCATTAATGGATGTACTATAAATTCAGTTATATGTAAATTTACAGTGTAACAAAATAATTTATCTTTGCATAAACATTTGATAAAATACTGGCTTGAGGATTATTTATTTGCTATCAGAAGTGGTTTTATTCATATTCTAACTATGATCCACATTAGTAAAGACATTGGACAATGCTGTGCTATTCTTCAGCTACAAAAAGCTTCAAAGATACAGATACAGGAAAAACAAATGGATGCACTTTAATGAGTACCCTTTGCTAGCAAGTGAATATATTTTGATAATATGTTTGCCCAGGGTCTGTATGAGTCATTCTGCCCATGGCAAATTAATTCATCCTTCATTCAGTTCAGTGAAAATAAACAAGGGAAAATAGAAAGAAAGAAGTCTAATTAGTGATTGGATAACACTCCCCTCTGTATTTTATGTATGATGTTGACCTTATGTGACCAATTGAATTGTCTTCACTTCAGTTCTGCCATCACACAGGTTATAGTATCAAAGGGACAAGCATTGGCACAAAGGGACAGCTAGTCTTCTTGTTTGTATGTTGCTGTTCTTCATATGCCAGAAGAGAGAAATCACTCGCAGTGCAGCCCATCTGTTATGTGTTTGATCCTTATGAAATTATGAGCAGGTGTATGGAGTATAAAGTGGGATGAGATACATGACACAATAGAGGACTAAATATACATTCCCATTATTGCTCAGATCATGTTAGCATTCAAGACATAACTGAGCCATTCTTTTGTTTCTGAGAAATCAGACTTACAAAGGAAGTGGGTTGTAATTCATGAAAACATATACTGAGATAAAACTGTTCATTTTAAAGATGACACAAAACCTTTTGTTCTTGTTTTGGTTTTCATGTAACTACAAAATAAAAGAAATTAATATGAGAATTACTGGAGTGAGAAAAGCTGCTCCTGTGACATTTGCACACTACCAATGTAAGTGATGGGTTCAGCCCTCAGAAGAAGAGGCTAGAAGCTCCTTATGCCAATATCCCCCTGCCAACAAGCTACTTTAGTGATTCCATTGCACCGATCAATGCTAGTGAATCCTTGTAGTAAAAAGCGAAGGAAGGAATATTGGAGCTTTACAATGTAAACTTCATAAATGGATGACTGAGCTGTGGACTCTGCTCAGCGTGCCTGACTCAGGGCTATGCTGTAGCAGAAGCAACTTCTCTTTGTGTTATAGCAACTTCAGGATTTCACTTTCTAGTAACATACTGTATATCCACCCACATGTATGCATCATCTGAAGTTTCAACAGTGAATGATTCGCAAGTGGGTGTGTGAGCTGCCTCCACTGAAAAGCACTGCATTTGTGATGTGAGAAAATAGGAAGGCACTGCCCAAGAAGGTTCATGAAGAGAAGGGTTGTAAATGCCTGTGTGTGAAGTTTGTGAGAAACAAAGGCCAAGTAAAGTCTTGAAAGTGGAAATTTTAGGGTCATTGCTTTCCTAGACAGAAGGGAGTAAGCTGGGCCTCAGACTTCTATATTTTATTTGTTTAAAAAAAGGTTTTGAGGGGGTTTTTTGGCCAAAATTGCACAAGCATTGTAGACATTAATGCATAAGATAGTTAAAAACTTTGCAGAGTGATTAATTTGGCCTGAATACAGTGTTAGCAAAGAAAAACATTAGAATAAAGGGTAGCCATGTGGTCCAAACAAAATAAAATATGAATGCAAAAATAGGTAATACTTTTATAGACCACTAAGAAAATCATCATACAGTACACAAGCTTTAATGGATTTTTTAAAAACACTTCATCAGGTGTGTAGCAGTATGAAAAATTTTAAGTCCAAAAGTTCATGGCAAAATGGATTTTGCTAGGAAAGTTACTCTTAGAGGTAAAGTTCAAAAGTTCTTGGCAACATGGAATTTGCCAGGCAAGTCTCTCTTAGAAGTAAGCCAGGAAGTATATGGTTGCTGTGAATTGAGTGCAACAACCCAGTTCTCTAAACAAAGAAGCACAGTGTGCTAGTGGAATGCTGTTGATTTCTCATGTAACCAGCAGCCATTTCTAGTTGTGCTACCTAGACATACCATTGGTTGTCCAAATGGGTTTGCAACCAGTTGCATTACCAGTTCTACCTCCACTAATAATGGAGAATTGCATGGAAGTCCCCCTTTGTACATACATAGTTGAGGTTGCCTCAAAACAGAATATCTTTTGTATTCCCAGAATGATACCATTGTCTAATAGCTTACATTAGCAATGTGTTCTACAATTCTGTGTTAATACCTCTATCTACTGTAGTTAGATAAAGGCAGTATTATTCATCAGAATTCATGTGAGTGTTCTTTCAGAGATATATTGGGCTCAGTGGCCTGTTGGACTAGTGTGTACGGTGGACTAACATGATACCTACAATACAGTAAGCTGTTTTGCCCATCACTCACTGGTATAGGAATTACTCTATCCCCAGCTGTCCCGCACAGCCTGTTGACCTGTGAACTCAAAAGGATCAGAAGAAAGCTCATTCCTTCACAGTAGACATTTGTCTTCACACGGGAGAGTGTTGTTGTTTTCACTTTAAAATATAAAACTTCATCTGGATTTTTTAATATTAGTGTTTCTGTCTTCTGGGTAGAAGAATAAATCATACTGTATATCACTCATGGTGAAGTAGTTCTCTCTTCAGACATACTGGCTGAAATCCTGTTGTTTAGTATAGTATGGTGCAGTAACATAGGTCGTTTGAATCAGTGGGAATTTTGTAAGTCTGTTCTTCAAAAGGTTAAATTGATTCAAATGAGCTTATTTTCGTTGACACTTATTTTACTCCAGTAAATTAGAACTAGAGTAGGCCTAAGTGAAGTGATGTAACTTATATTTTTTGGGGGAGGACCACACAGCCTTTTTCTGATTTTCTTCTGACTTATAAAGGAGTTGATTCACCAAATCCCCGCTAATTCAATGGGCCTATGCTAAGTAATTGGATTTCAGCCTTTGTCTTTTTATTGCACTATTTCTAATAGTGAGTTGGCCAAGCTGATGATGTTTTGTTTTTATTTAATTTATATTTCATATACATGAAAACTATCACTCCAAAAAGGTAAAAACTTGTAATCAGAAAAAATACAGACAAGGATTATTTCAACCACATTCAAAAATCTAAGGAATATAATTTGTGGGTTTAAATAATTATTATATTGATGCATACCAGAAGATACAAATTGAAAGTCTACTATCCATATGGTTATCCCAGCATAAAAATCATGATGCCTATCTCTCCACCAGTTCTGTCTAAATGAATCATTTTTATACTATTTCTATAGTTAACATCATTTGTGGCTTGTCTGTTGTCGATCTCATTCCTATCAAACAATCCTGTATTATTGTTTCTATTATAGCACCAGCAAAAAAAGAGAGATCTAAATATTTTTCTATAGTTATTTTGCTAGAAAAGCATAAAGTTTAATAACAACTAGTCTAATCTAATCTATAGAGCAAATGATGCAGCCAGAACAATATCACTTTTATCCTGCCTACTTAGCATTCGTAGTTTAAATAGAGAATTTATTCTCATAATCATTGACTATAATAATGAGAATAAAGACACAACTGTTCTCATTTGTTTAAAACTTCTGTAGCAAAGGAATATCCACTAACTTTTATTCTACCAGATGGCTGCAATGGAGATCAGTGGGGACTACTTGGCACTTCTTGTTACTAGACCTTCTAATCTGTTTGCAACTTCAAATCATTCATAAATACATTACTTCACATCATTATCTTATGGATCTTTGTTTATACTCTCAAAAGCTTGTCTCACAGAACTAGCCAAAACATCCTTACTTAGAGACACAAAGCTAAAAGAACAGCTGCTTTTTGTTTATAATTTGCACTAACTAAGAGCAGAGTTACTCTATGAAAATGAATTGGTAGGTGGATCAGGGTTTTTCAAATTGGGTTAAAGTCACAGAACAGTCACGTGATCATACTCTCCATTTGGATTAGTGACAGAAATAGAAAATTTTCCTACCAATATGAAGGTGTATGTGGATTTATTTAAAGAAGAAAAAGTGATTAGACTGAAAGATTGGTTGTATAAAATGAGATCGATAGACCAAATGAAACAAATATTTCAAAACAAGACTATTTCATGGTTGAACTATGTACAGCTAGAAAGATGGACTAAAGAATGGGCAAATAAATAAATATAATAAAGGTAGAGAACATACAAAATTTGAGCAATTTCTATTCTCATATGAAGACATTCAGATGACTGACTCAGTAAAAGGTACAGTGAGTAAAATTTATTCACTTCTTAATTTAGAGGAAGAAGAAAGTGAGAAAGAGGGATTGAAAATGGTGTGGGAACAAGATATTGGGAAAAGAATAAATGAAGAAGAATAGAGGAAGATATGGAAAATGAGGGTTTCAAGATTTATGTCAGTAAGATTAAAGGAAAAATTTTTTAAACTTAGTTTAAGATGGTATTTAACACCAGTAAAATTAAACAAAATTAACACCAGTCATCTGTTGGAAATGTGAGAAAGAAGTTGGTACATACTTTCATATGTGGTGGGAATGTGAAAAGGTACAAAGATTTTGGAAACAAATTTTCAAAGAATTAAGTTATATGTGTGGAAAAGATATAGAATGTAAGGCTGAGATTGCTATGTTATCAATATATGAGAGTGTGGAATATGACAAAATGACTAAAGAATTGATAACTAATCTAATAACAGCAGCTAGATTGATTATTGCTAGGCAATGGAAATTAAAGACTGAATTACAAATTGAAGAATGGTCTAAAGAAATATGGAATATAGGACAGTCACATGATGTTTGGATCATTAAATGCATCTCCTTAGGAAAACTTTTAACCTAATTTTGAACTGTGCTGTATATATTAATTAAGAGGGATACAGTACATGGGCTTTAAAAATCATTGCAACTGAAGCTTTGTCCTCTGCCTGCCTCCCCTCATACTGGTCATTCACTCTTGCTGCTATAGTAAGAGAGAAGGAGGGGAAGGGTCTGCTTGCAAAACTGCTTGTTCCTTTAGAAAGCTTGGCTGCTTCTGACCCTTTAAGAATGTTGTTCCCTAGGAGGCAGAGAACTTAAGTCCTGTTTGTACCCACAGAAAATACTGAGCAAAAACACACAGAACAATGCAAAAACACAGATCCAAAGCATGGGTCTTTAAGATATTAATATTGAATCTGCCTTAAGCCACTGTAAAATCATAAGTCCTATTTGATGCATGCATCTTCTCCAGTACCTCTAATTAGAATCACAGTTAGAGGAATGTATTACTAATTGCCAATCCACATTTTGCATCAGCTCTACTACTCTTGGACTAGAAATTGTCTCAGCAAAAAATGCTTGGTGAAAAGTACAGTGTTTGGAGTACAATGGTTTGAGCTCAGCTCTAACTTGTGAAGATGCTTATATATGTTTCTGCCATGTTATTGTTTCAATAAATATGGAGAAGCTATTTAAGTACGATGCAATGTATGGCTCTCCAGCTGTTGCTGAACTGCAATGGCCATCAGGTCTAGTCATCATAGCCATGGCTGAGGAATGATGGGACTTGTAGTTTAATAAAATCAGGAGGGCTTTTTAAATGCCAACTGCTCACACACCAGCTTTATTCCTGGCCGTCTGACTTAGTGAAGGTGTTCAGCAGTCAGGTCCTTCTCCTTTCCCATATGTTCTTTGACTTTTTCTGTTAGGGCAGCAGCCAGAGCAGATGAGTTGCAACTGTATGTCTAACTGTCATCCATCAGAACTCCAGTAAGTGCCTTAGATTCTTCTTGAACTCACCTGCTGCTTCATTTTGAATTATTTGTTTATCTGATTCCATCAGGAGGTACAGTGTGGATGCCACATGTATATCCTTGCTCTTGATTTCCCACAGTTTTGAAGGGAGTGGTGGGAGGTAATGCAGTTAATGAATTATTCTTTTTATCCAGTCAACAAATTTTGAAACATTCACATATACACCAGGGCGATGTGGCAGTGCACACTGATAACCAAAGGACGTCACACCAGCCAATATCCACCTTTCCTTATCTTGACACATCAGGGGTCCACCAGAATCACCCTGGAATGAGAAATAAAAATTAAAACATTCTTACATATAATCTTTTTATAGGAAACAAAACTATTTGCAAAGCCAAAATGAGATCAGTTATGGCCTTAAGCATTTGGTGTGATGCCTGTCAGTTATATGCAGTATTAATGCAACCTTCTGTCTGAGTTTTCACTCTAAGCTTATTTCTTTGAGCCTGCATGAAAGTTGTGCCACAAGAGCTTTGAAGGAACAAGACACTGTCTTTCTTGGGCTATAGAGCACCCTTTGAAATATGCTACTTCTGACAGCAGCCCATAGCTTGTAGTTTATATGACCTTGGATGATGAGGTCTACATATTATTTAAATTTTTTGCACAAATAAATCCAAAGTCACAAAAGGCAATAGGCAAGCTCATTATGACTGAGGATGAGAATGATGATGGTTATGTTGTTGTTGTTGATGAGACCACTGGTGAAGCAGAGGTTTCAAGTACTGCCAAACTCTGTAATGTTTTTTCACATATTGATGGCACAATTGCTTCATCAGAATAACAAGCAACGAGTCACTTGTTAATTAACTGTACTATAGCCTAGAAAACATACTTTCTTCATTTACCTGACAGGAATCAATTCCACCTTCATCATATCCGGCACATATCATATTTTCAGTAATATTGTACTCTGGCATCAGTTGCTGGCATTTCTCATAAGTTATAAGAGGGACCTCTGCTTCTTGTAATATACTTGCAGGCGAACCTGTCTCAAAACCAGAAACACGTGCATTTAATCAGCTTCAATACAGAACAGTTTCTCCAAGCAACATTTTCATTCCTTCTAACATTACTCACTTTCATTAGGTAGCACTGTAGGTGGCTTAAACATCTCATGTTACCAGGCTATTAATCCAGTGAAGTCTATCCAAGTACTGTATGTGTAGAAATCTGATCAGTGCTATCTATGGATGTCTAGTAATTATTCATGTATTCTGAACAATAGAAACTAGAATACTTGTTTCTGGTAATAGGGTAGGTGCCATTCATTATAGTTGTTGCAGGACAGAATGTTACTCCTGGTATTTTGAACGGCAAATGCATAATTTTAAAAATTATGAATATTTAACTATTTGGGAAACCTAATTGTTTCTTCAGAAAATACTGGGTTTCTTGCAGAATTCATTATATTCAAAATGGCCATAAATTAAGGATGGGCAGCGTGACAACAGATCCCATAGTCTTAGCACTGATCATGTAGTCTGGGGCTGAATAGTTGTAGGGTTTAACGTCTGGAGAGTCAAAGGTTCATTAACCCTGTCATAGAGAATGTCCTTCTTCCACTTGCTTTTCTACTTAGGACAGGACAGGCAACCTGCAGCCACATCTCCCATGATGTCTTAAAGACTAATGGCATGTGTGCAATTGGTCACCTGGTTTGAGGCAGATATGGGAACTGTTTACTTTTTGCATTCTAGCTCTTTGAATCCCATAGCCAGCATGGCCACCAGCTATAGTCCAAAAACCCAAGCCTAAGGGAACATATGGTTAAGCAGGGCAAGTTTGTATCTGGACAATACTTCAGGGGCTGCTCTTGATGAACCTTGTGTTCCATCATGATGCAAAGATGGGATGTAAATGGAATCATTAAACAAAAATGAGCTCTTAGAAGCAATCACACCATGAGGGTAAAATACAAAATTTAGTTGGAGCATAAGATTAGTGTTTCCTGAAAATTTGGTACAATGTACTGGGGGGAAAAAATCACCTTCATGCTTCCTTGCTGTCATTGAAGACAAAGCTATCTTACAAGTTACACATGTATCATAGCTGTGTAATAAATGTCACAGTTTGTCAATATGCCTCCCTACAGTTATGCACATTCTGTAGGCATCCTTCAGTCTCGAAATAGACAAAATATATGTCTGTAGGGTTGTATATAAAGAACATCTTTCTGAGGTCAGAAACACACAGTCTATGATCTAGTGACAACAAAGATAGCCAAGTTTCTCTCGAAGTATATGAATAACTACGAGTGTTACGATACCTTAAGAAAAAGCATATTTATCACAGAACAAACTTTTGTAGAGCTGCCTATCTGTTTACAATTTCTTATTGTCTGCACCCACGTACGTGTCTTCCAACTGAGCATAACCATCAGACATCTGATAAAGTGGGCTTTATCCATAAAAACATATGCCGCAATAAATCTGATTTTTTTTTTTAAAAAGTACCTGAAGATTTTGTTTTACTTTATTTTGCAATTGCTGATTTATTGCTATGTCTACAGCGTACAGAAAAGTCTTCCACTTTATATACCAACTTGATGAACTTGGAAATATCAATGAGAAGCACAGTACTTTGTAGTTGTACCACTCTGTACTTCGATCCAAGCTATTTTGCACTGAATGCATCAGGAAAATATAAAAATACTGTATGAAGAGAAAGAAAGCTCCTATGACTTCAATAGGAAGTATAATGACACACCTTGATTTGTGGTTCTTCCCCATCCAGCGATTGAGCAATTAGTTCCTGGCAAAAATGGTTTGTTTTCTTCTGGGAGGCAAATGGGCTGAATGTAATCTGTAAAATAAAATAAAATAAATTTCAGATCTGGAGTCTACTAGATTTTAGCATTACTGAGGCAGGTCTATAGTAGCAAGCACAGAAAGTGTCATATTTTGAGGCCTTGCATTTTACAGTATTGGAAACATGCAATATTTCAATTTTGCAAAGTTCTTTCAGACTTATACATAAATCAGTGCATATCAGAAATGAATCACTATAGAAGAAAACGGTCCTACCTGTGTAATTTACTCTGAATTGGAGATGCATCAAAGCGATGTCACTGTCCTTTGTTCTCTTATTGTAATGGGGATTTATGATAATTTGATCAATTTCCCGAATTATTATTTGTGGATATGACAGATTCAGATTAGTGTGCAAGCCGAGATATGCTTTCCACTGAGATGGCTTCATATTCCTCCTGAGGATTAGAATAAATATTCTGAAGCCAAATCACCTATGATTACATAACAAACCTGAGTAATTTGTGATCTATAATTCTATCACTTCTTACCTTCCATGCTATATTGCCACTTACGCACACATATTCTTTTCAATGGGCTTGTGCTTCCAGTGGACTGTACCCTATGTGCTTCTTATATTAATTCTTAAAATAGGTGGGGAATGCTGATAAATTTTCAACATCAATATTGCAGTCTTGTCCCAGGTAAAATTGGAGAGATGCATCACACTTAACATATTATTCATTTCTCAGAAAAATGGGAAGGTAATGAGTACACAGTAACTTCATATTGAGCAGTGCTTGCAAGTGTGAGACCCCAGATGTTCTTTGACTACAACTCCAAGAAACCCTGGTTAGCAGAGCCAATGGGCAGGGCTTCCGAGCTTCTGCTTCCCTCTCCACGTTTTAGTATTGGGACTATACTTATTGGTCAACCATATTTTGTACCAATTTCTTATGGTTGGATCAAATGGAATCTTTGAATTTTTCAAGATTACTTCAGATAAAACGAGATACAAAAAAGAATACATATCTCTTCTGATTAAGCAGTTTTCCTCCCACAATGGCATTTCTTTAGTAACACATGCCTCAAGAACAATCAGGCCATTTCCATATTCACCTTCCCATATTCAGTCACAAATGAAAGACATTAAATGAAAGATACATAGGTGAAAAACAGACTTCCTTCATCACTTGAGGGGTGACGTCTTCTAAAAGACATGTAATCCTATTTGAGTCCTAGAGACATTTTAGGATCTTATATCCTACAACTGAACAAGTTACATAATAACTCTTCCAACTGATATATTTAATTTTGGGACACAAACATGATCCCTCTGCCCACATACTGATAGACAAAAGAGTATACCCCCCAAAGAGCAGATATATCCAATGTGATGCCTTTATTTTTCAAGTCATACTTCTCCCTTCGCCATGGATCACTATAACAGCAGCCAAAGAGATACATGATGCATCAAACTGTTCGGGATACTGGCATTAAAATTAAGTAGTTTTTCAGATGAATTTAGGTAATTCAAGATAATAAAAGATATGCTGGGAGTTTATCGACTGCTCAACCACTCTGTTAGCCAGAGCACTTGTGCTTCAGCTAAATTATTGCTTCTCACTTATTGTGGCTCATGGAACTGGGCAGTGGGCTGTCAGCAGTGAAATGAGCACATTAGTGACATATCTGCACCATTTCAGATACATGATCCCACTTCAATAGATCATTGTTTGGAGAAGAGAAGGGCAAGAAAACCAACCATATCTGTCAGAAGGGCAAGAGGAGCCAAACTCAAACACATGAATGTGAGCCTACATATTACTAGGGATTTTTAAAAAAGAAGACTTGGGAACAGTCAAAGTTTGCTATACTGTATTTTATATATAGTGAAATATCACTGTAATTACACAAATGCTAATTGTTGTTGAAGCAGACTAACAGAAATAACGTGGCTTATTTTTCTCCACATCGATTGAGGAATGGTTGTTAAGCTGTAGAATCTACTTTTATAAGACATTAGGTCATTCTTTAATCACACTACTGACAACACATTGGATGAGTAATGCAGATACAGTACTAAATTGATTCTAGGGAAAATGGGAACACTTAGCTTGGTACAGTATATTTAATGCACATAACTTTACATTAATTACACTGTTTACTTACATCTTGTACTGTAACAGATGAAGTATGAGGCTACAACCAAATTGAGGAATCCAGGTTGGATTCCATTTTTACTAGTGAAGAGTTTCGAATATATTCAGTATATTATGAGAAATAAGTTCACATTTTTGTCTTATGTAGAAGGCTCTGGTGATGTATCACAGGATAAATGCTGATTCAAACAAACAAAGTCAATGATTCTTTCTTCAGTAATGTTTCTTTTATCTGTACAAGGTAATGTTTATTTAATATACTACTACTACTACTACTACTACTACTACTACTACTACTACTACTACTACTNAATAATAATAAAAACACAAAATGTACATTTCTGTACTGAGACTTTTGTGTATATATATTGAGACATGATCTCTAAGTTTGTAAAACTCTTGTTCATCACCCTAAAACTATGTCGCCTTATTCTGCACAGAACATTTTGCAAGGAACTGTGGAATGTAAGTAGCTGCTGCAAGAACTGAGCATTCTCTGCGTTTTTTTCCATAAATGCTGCATCTCAGACTTCTAGCTCTGCCTTAGCAGATGTAGAAATACGTTTAGCTGCAAATGCATGCAGTAAATAACTTCAAATTCCTCTAAGTATAGGAACTTAATTGGTTCTTAACTGATTAATGGAAAAAGGACTGAGCAGAATAGATCTCCATGTACTAAAATGAACAAAGGGATACTTCTAGTTTGGAGGGTCAGCTCTGCAGAAAATTTTGGCTTGATTTGTGTGTGTCTGTGTCTCTGTGTGTGTGTGTGTGTGTTTGTGTGTGTGTGTGTGTGTGTGTGTGAGAGAGAGAGAGAGAGAGAGAAAGAGAGAGAGAGAGACCAGGTTCAAAATGATGATCTTCCTCAGATAAAGCTCTCCATATGTGTCCCTGGTAGCCAAAAATAGTTCCTACGACTGCATTCATTCCAAGATTGTCAGTCTTTCACACTGTCCTCTTTACTCAGAGCAAGGTATTAGAGGAAGGTAAACTGTACTGCCAGTACTTTGCCATGATACTGAAAAATGCTTTCAAAATCTCATAAATTTCAAAATACCATTGTTGCAAAGCAGTGACAGAGGTGTCCTTCATAGCCACCTCAGTAATCCCTTGCTCTGAAGAAAAATCACTGGTGTACTAAACAACAACAAAAACAACGAGATATAGTATTACAATATAGGAGTGTATGACTATGTTAAAAAAAGACAAACCAACCAAATTTACCTCTAGAAGCTACTAAAGACTCATACTATTCTATAGTCAAACTTTCATCTGAATTGCTTGTTGTAGGTTTTTTGGGCTGTTTGGATGTGTTCTGGCCCATAAAACCTACAACAACCATCGGATCCTGGCCGTGAAAGCCTTCAAGAATACATCATCTGAATTACATTGATACAGGTTAATCTTTAGTAACAAAGATGGGCCACTTGGATGCCCTGTTGAAACTGGCTTTCCATGTCACCACAAAGTATGGCAGGGCAAAGAGAGGAGTAAAGACTATTTGCGGGGTCCATGGTACTGTATATCACAAGTCTGACTGCAGTGGAGTAAAATCTGACAATATCCCGATTTTATAGCTTTGTGTGGAAAGATAGGCCAGCAATGACAGAAACAAAAATGTTCAAGTAAAATGTGTTAACATTTGTCAAGATGGCAAACAGGGCTTATAAACAGAATGTCAGAAAGAGCAATGATTACCCATAGACACAGTGGGCAGCAGAGACCAGCCATTCATTGTTGACAAGAGAAGCTCCACAGGTTGGTCTGGAGTTAAAATATAATGAGACCACCCATGGCCAAGCCCCTTCCTGAGCATCAGAGCCACCAACAATTTTTGCTGTGTGTTTTTGAGTAATCCATCTTTCTCCACATGCTATGGGAAAAAGAAAAAAAAGTTAGAATTTTTAACCATATCATTTTGAATGGCTCAGAATTAAATATGCTTGTCTTCCTCAGTGCTGGAGTCTGGATGGCAGCTGTTAATTAAATTAATATAATGTATAATTTTGTTTGTTGTACAGTATTTAGAAAGCTGTTTAATGTTTTTGCCCAGTTTACTTATGGGTATGTGTTATTCTCTAGCACCAATTATAATCTCTATGACCAATAACCACAATCATTTTTTTAAGTGCGGTAAATGTGCAGATGTCAAAAGAAACATCTTTGATAAAATGCCTCTAACAGCAAAACGTCTTTTTCAGGGAGACTCCATATAGTATGAGGCTGAATGGCTTTGAATGGTAGTACTGGAATAATGTTATTTTATTATTTTACGTGAGCTGCCGCTGTATTCTAATTTAAGCCAAGAAGTTTACCTTCTGTTACACTGCTGTCATTCCTGTTTTACTTTACTTTACTTTATTTAGATGTATACCCCACCCCTCTAGACAAAGTCTACAATGTGTTCAGAGAAAAACATACTGTATGTGGGCATGACATCTGATTGGAACTGTGGTCTCTCAGAAACTTACCTTTATTCTTGCATTGCAGATGCATCACCAAATTATCAACACATTGTGCCCTAGAACGAGAACATAGTATTATATTTCTTGTGTTCTTAGAGCAGGGATGGAGATCATTGACCACTGCATTCCCCTGAGGGCAAACCATGAGGGCTGCACGCTGAAGTTAGCTATGAAGACAACTAAATATGTACTTTGTTTAGCCCCAGTTGTTTCGCTATGCATTTTTTTTTCTCTCTGTTTTCAACTGTTTCTCTTTCTGATGCCTGTTTCTCTCTCCCTCTTTCTCCATGCCTAACAGGTTACCAGGAGAAGGAAATGTAATGTTTGCCAGAAGTAGAGCTTCAAAATTATTAT